GTGTCATTCTTTGTTCTTAGTTAAGAATCAGTGATCCACCCCCCACGCCCCACCCAGTACTTTAAAAAAAAAATTATAACTGATATTGGTAACATTGTAATAATAAACTTATTCAGTCATTTTGTTGTGATGAATTAGAGAGTCTTATTTAGAATATTACCATGTAGTAAGCTAAAAAATAGTGGAATATTCTTAACAAATAATACATCTAAGTTGATCAACATAATTTTACCTGTTGAAAAAAATTACACATCAAATATATTTGGCTTTTGAAATTGTAGTAGCATTAATTCTAGTATCACCTGAGATTTTGATTCCAATTGTGTTAGCCATAGCAAAACTATTTAAGGAAGGGGGAAATCTATTTTGGCTCACAGTTTTAAAGGTCATCGTGGCAGTGAGGGCATGTTGGAGCAGAGCAGCTGCATCCTGGTGGCTAGGAAGCAGGAGAAAATGCTTATGCAAGCAGCTTTTTTCTCTTTCCCCTTCTTTCCCATCTGTCCCTGTCGAATGATGCCTTCCACATTAAAAGTGGGTTCTTCTCCCTTAGTTAATCTCCTCTAAAAATGTCTTCATTGACACCCAGAGATAGGTTTTACTAATCTCCTAGGCTCTTCTCAATCCAATCAGGTTGACAGTTAAGACTAACCTCACACCAGTGACTAAACCTAGCACACATAAAACTAGAATATAATATTCACATTTTGGGTACAGGTGGACATTTTGGTGAATGGGATGTGAGAAGTTACCTACACAGTAATGAGATTACCACAAAGTGGGAGTATGTCCACACTTGTAGAACCATCACCACCATCCATCTCTAGACTTACTTTGATCTTCTGAAACTGAAACTATACTCATTAAACAATAATTCCCCATTCTTCCATCCCTCAGGCCATGGAACTCACTGTTGTATTTTCTTGTGTCTCTGAACTTTTCTATTCTCTTATGAATAAATACTAACAGTTTGTCTTTTAGTTACTGGCTTATTTTACTTAGGGTCATGTTTTCATGGTTCATCTATGTTATAGTATGTGTTAAATTTCTTTCTTTCTTTCTTTTTTTACAAGCTGTGGTTTTTATTACTTAGAAAAGCCTCATGATTATTTCGCTTCCTGACTCTGCTTGTGCCTTCAACCCTTTCACAATGATTTTCTGCTCCTCAATAAGGAAAGCACGCTTGATCCTGTCATGGACACATTTAGCACACATAGAATCACCATATGCCCTGCTGACGCGTTTTTTTGTTTTGGAAAATCTCATGAGGACTTTAGGCCTCACAGCTCGAACCCCTTGAAGTCTGCCCAGGCACACACCACACGCAGATTTGGTGCTTTCCCAACCTTCTTGGTATAAAGGTAAACAATCCCGTTACCAGGGCTTCCGGACAGCCTAGTTGTGTTAGAGGCTGTGTTGTAGAAAAGCCTACGACGGTATGTCAAACGCTGGACCATTCGGAGTGCCTGCAAACACTGTCCCCGGAAGAGGAAAAGGAAAGCTAAATTTCTTTTTAATAATATCTTCATACATTTATACCATATTTTGTTTATTAATTCGTCTGTCACCAGATACTTCAGTTGCTTTTTGGCATTTTGAACAGTACTGCCATGAGCATTGTTTTACACATTCTTATTCATGTTCTGACTTTCGATTCATTTTGGAAGTAGAATCCCTGACTCATTTGGTAATTCTATTTTTAATTATTTGAGGAACTGCCATATTGTTTCAATAGTGCCGTACCCTTTTACATTCTCATTAGCAGTGCATGTGGGTTCCAGTTTCTCCACATTCTCACCAACACTGTTTATTTTATACTTTGTTTTTTTTCTATAGTGTCATCTTACTAGTCCTGTATCATAAATATCTACCTGCCTAGTAGTACCTTGTGGTTCTAATATGCATTTCCCTAGTGACTAGGAATATTTAATCTTTTCATGTGCTTATTGGCCATTTGTATATCTTTGGAGAAATCTTTATTCAAATCATTTGTCTTTTTTTTTTTTATAACCTTCAATTTCTTTTGAGATAGGGTCTTGCTATATAACCCAGGTTAGCCTGGAACTTGCTATGTAGTCTAGCCTGGCCTCAAACTCTGAATCCTCCTGTCCCAGCCTTCTGGGTGCTACAGTTGTAGGCATATGCCACCATGCCTAGCTTGCATGTTTTTTGTTTTGTTTTGTTTTGTTTTTAGCCCAAGCTCATAGCCATATGAGTCAGCTACAGCTTTACAGAACTGCCAGGAAGATCCTCATATGTAATCAAATTTTACCTTATATGTTTCATCCATCTCTTCTCTGTTCCTATTAACATCATTATAATCCATTTAGCATCATCTAATTCTATCATTACAGTTGTTCATGGGTAAAGAAGTGCCTTGTATAAATAGTAGGTACTTAATTTAGTGATTAATAATTCAACAGTGTGTCTAATTCAGATTGAAAGGTAAGGGTAAATGATCATAAATTCCTGAAGTAAGTACATTTGTTCTTCAAGTGATCTATCTTTAACTTTCTCCCCCTTAATTCAGCAAAGATTTATTAAGCATGGGATCTGAGTTTTCCCCTCTCAAAATATGTGACAGTAAGCAAGTTGCACACTCTTCTATATAGGCTGAAATACGTAATTTCTTAGGTTTTCTTCTAATGTTGCCTGTTAAATAGTCTTAGGATATCATTACCAATTTTTACTTATTAATATATCACCTCCCATAAATCACTTCTTTGGTTCTCACCAAACATAAAATGGATTCCAGTCTATTCTAACTCATTTTCTTGTTTAACACTTCCTTGACTTCTTAGGTCTATCAGTACCTAATCTGGAAAAATCTTTAAATCCAAACATTGAATTACTTTCTCTAAGAATTCACCAGTGATAGTACAGCAATATTTTGAAGAGTTATTCATCAGGGTAGGCTTTGATCCTTCTAAAATGTAATGTTAAACCATTTAAAAACTAAGAATAAGAAAGACTGTATTGTGTGACTTTAGTTTTTTATTTCTACTTTTGAAGTGCTATAAAAACCAGAACACCTCTGGAACCTAAAAAGGGAGATATAAATTCCAAAACTAAGTAGAAATGTGTTTTAAATTATCTACTGTTTTATTTGTTCATACCTATGTCCTCCTGTTTCATTGAGAATTCATATTAAATTGATTACAAGGGGGCTGGAGAGAGCTTAGCAGGTAAGAGCACTAGCTGCTCTTGCAGCAGACCTGGGTTCAGTTCCCAGCATCCACATGGCAGCTAACAACTGTCTGTAACTCCAGGTCAGGGGATCTGACAACCGTCTTCTAACGATGTGGGTGTACTTACTTGCAGGCAATACATTCATATACATAAAAATGAAAATAATAAAAATATTTTAAAAATTGGTTATAAGTTGACTTCTAAAAGACATAATTATTTAAACTAATTTAATTCCAAGAAATAATGTTGTGATTGGCTAATGAAGATGAAGCAAAAATCAAGTAACCTCTTTTAAGAGATTTTTATTCTTGATATTTGCTTTGTCATTATCATAAATTTACTATCCATTTTCCCTTCTGCATGCTGGTTATAAATCAGTAGTTACTTATGAGTAGTAATGTTCTGGTATTACATGTTTTTAGGAGCAGTTCTATAAAACGGAAGATAGTGCAGTCTTTTACATAATGCTCTAATTTTCTAATACTTTAAGTAATTTCTATCTCAGAAATAAAGAAAATACCTTTAATGCTGCATTTGGAAAACTAGTTTTAATTTATAGTGACCTTTTTCTCCTTTGAGCATTTACTCTGCATTCAATAAAATGTTGACGACTGCTCTTTAGAAGACAGCTGTACGAAATAAAGTATTATAAATATTCAGCTTTCCTTTCTAAGAATTGTCACCAACAGCTGGGCATCCAGTTTAGAAGAACAGATTTTACACAGAGAGAGCCTGGCATGTTCCTGAATCAGTTTAGTGAAGGAAACAAAGAAGTTTCTTATGGATTGGGGACTTATAAAGACATGGAGCATCTGTTCCCAGTTAAGTCGTAGTCTGCTTGCACTGAATCAAGTTTGATGCTAGAACACTGTGCAAAACTTCTCCACCTTACGAATACCTTTAACACTTACTCCTCTGTTTCTATAAACGATGCATTTTCCATGAAAGGAAAATTATTATTTTACTGTTATGTATAACTTTTCCTAGTCATATTTTTATTGATGTGAGAATTTCATACAATGTATTTTGATCATATTCAGACCCCCGATCCCCTCTCTACCTTCATGTTACTCCCTCTCTCACTTCATGTCCTCTATTATTATTTGTCTTTTTTTTAAGGCCTATAGAGTCTAGTTGGTGTTTCCTAAATTATCTTGGGTGTGGGTCTATCCCTTGGAGTGTGGTCAACCTCCAGGTGGCATACCAGTAAGGAAAACTGACTCTCCTCCTCCCAGCATCTATCAGTTGCCAATAGATCCTCAGCTAGGGCTTGGGGCTTCCTGCTAACCTCCCCCATCCATGCCAGGCCCCTATCTGGCTTGGGTTTTCACAGATCTTGTACATGGTGCCATAAGTGCTATGGGTTCACATGTGTAACGACCCCGTGGTGTCATATTTTAATGCGGACGACTGATTTTTTATTAACTTTTTCAATAATGAAAATTTGTAGCTCAGTGGTAGAGCACTTACTTAACAAGCAGAAAGTCCTGGGTTCAGTCCCTAGAACCACCACCAAAGAAAGAAAAAAAACTAATGTTTAAGTTTTATGACAATTTATGTATATAAACTACATATATAAAGAAGTGATCCATTTAAATATTTAACTAGGATTCCATATTAAAATATGCCATTAAAATCAAACTGATGAAATAAATACAACAAACCCAAATTTATCATGAATAATTACTTTCTTCAGGTTATATTGTTTATTAATTGCTTTAACAAACAATATAAAACTTGTTTGGTAAATAAATTTGAATCTTTATATCTTTTACATGTCAGATCTAAAATTTCGTTAAATGTTTTGTTTGCAGCGTTAAAAGATCACTGAAATTGGATGATCACTTTGAAGAAAAAGTAAGTATTAACTTAGAAATTGTGATGCCATGGTAGCGCATGCCTTGCATTCCTAGCACTTAGGTGAAGACAGGAGGACCAGAAGTTCAAAGTCATCCTCAGCTATAGAATCACCTGGGTTATAAGAGCTCCCAACTGAGGGAGGAAGAGAGGGAGGGAGAATGGATATGAATTGGGATTGCTTGATTAAGATTGTGTTTTTAACTTTTGCCCCTTTTACCTTGCTAAACATAAAAGTTATCAAAACAATGTGACACAGTTATCATTGATATACTGCAGTATGGAATAGTAGTATTTTAATTGATATATTGTAGTCTATTAAAGTAAAATCAAAACAGCACCATTTTCATAGAAAAATGTAATAATTTGCTATGCTGGTTTGGAGTAAACAAAAAAGTACTAATAGTGTGGTAAATTTCACTATAGTTATCACAATAAAAATTGTATTGCTAGCATTACTTTTTCTAAATCTAGTCATAGCACATTCCCAGTGCCAGCATATGACATATGTTAGCTAATTATCTTTTCATATTAACTAAGGATCTGGATACAAACACTGATTTGAAATACTTAGGATTTCGCTAATCTGAAATGCAAGTAAATTGGTAAGAATATAAATTAAAACAAACAGCTGATCAGTAAGTGGGCCTCCTTAAAAAAGAAAAAATCCCATGAGAATACCATTTTAAGAAATGAGCTTTATATGGGATTTCTGTTTGGAAGACTTGCTGGTTTAAACAAAACAGAAAATCACCATTTAGAAATACTTCCTAGATGCTTTAAAAAAAAATTATACAAAGGTAGCAAAATACAGCAGTGGCACTAAAAAAAAAAGTATTAAATGTGTGATTAGCAATTTAGACTACCATTATCCAACTTGTTCCGTGCAAAATGTAGCTGTGTCTGTAATTTTGCATCTGTTTCTTTGGTCAGAATGGTATTTTGGTAGGTACTAGTCCAACTTGAAACGAAATAATATTCTTTCCTGCCCAGAGCTGTTCTTTGGGAGATGGAAACATCTGAATGAAAAAGAATGGCATCTCAGAGCCCATTCTGTTCATGGGGCACAACTGTGAGCACAGCAGTTTCCATCCATCTTTTTTCCTCAGATGAGGATGTGTCCAGGTCATCAGTGTCACAAGAATATCCTGTATTAGTGCCAGGCATGGTGGTGCACACCTTTAATCTCAGCACTCGGGAGGAAGAGGCAAGTGTATCTGTGAAATTGAGGCAAGCCTGGTCTACATTGTGAGTTCCAGGCCACTATGTAGGATACAGGGAGATGCTGTTTCAAAAAATCAAAATCAAAAACAAAACCCAAAAAACAAAATGGAATGTGTTATATTAGAAGAATACATTGTTATATATTGTTATATTTGGCTCAGTTCTGTACTTTTAAACCAATTATCTTGAATGGTAACTCATTTTCTTTACTCGCTATTGGTTTATTCATATTTTCTAGCTCTTCATGATTTAATCTGGGTGGGTTGTGTGTATTAGGGAATTTGTCTATTTCATCCAAGCTATTTAATCTGTTAACATAGAACCATTAGTAATATCTCAAGGCCCTTTTTATTTCTACAGTTTGTTGAGCATCACTAATCAGAAAGTCTGAAATGCTCTTAATTCAAGGATTTTCTTGTTTCTGCAAATAATGCAGTTTTATTTACACCGCCTGTTAGTCAATCTTATAACCTCTTTAGCATAACTTTTTGTACCTGTGTAAAAGTTCCTAAATTGTCCACTTAGATACATTCAGCTCCCCTTTCCTGTCTTCCTTCTAGGCTCAGACTCACATCCCTCAGTGAGTTCCATTGCATTTGTCCTCCTTCACTCAGTGACGGAAGCTCATAGTGGTCCTAAAACATGTAAATGAACCTCCCTTTCTCTTTAGCTGCTATCATATTACATTTGCCTCTGCAGCAGGGCAGGAGACTGGCTCCTGAGACTGCAGAAAACCCTCAGTAATGGATCGTTTTAGAAACCAAAAGCCCAGAATTTTGAAAGATTAAGTATTTTCATCCTTATTTATGCATTCATTTCTGAGCAGCTTAGATGGGTGCTTTGGGGACTATCTATAAGACGTGTGTATTTGATGATTGATTTTCTGTACCAGGTATTTCTTTTACCTTCAACCATCATTCTAAAAACCTATACTTCCCAACTCAGATTTTTAAAAATATTTTATTTATTACTTTTATTTTATGTGTATGTGTATTGCCTGCATGTAGGTAAGTGCACCCATGTCATACAGTGCCATGGAGGTAAGAAGAGGCTGTCAGATCCCCTGGGACCAAAGTTAGAGACAGTTGTTAGCTGCCATGTGGGTGCTGGAATTTGAACCTGGGTCTTCTGCAAGAACAACCAGTGTTCTTAACCACTGAGCCATCTCTCCAGCCCCCTCCAACTAGGATTTTTACACACACTGTCTTTGGGCATAGCAAGCATAGCTTAATTTCAGTAAAGGATAGATCTGACATGTAAACAAATCCCATTCCCTGGAATTAGAGTTTTGTGGTAGGGATTCTTTGTTATATATGTAGACATGCCTTCTAATTCTGGGTTCCTCTTCTGGCCTAAGCTGGAACTTGTCTATACCACATTCCTATTCATACTCATTTCTAGTCTTCCAGTAGAAGGAGACAGAGTCATTTTGCTAGCCTACTAAAACCAAGTCTTGGGCCAGGAAAATGGCTCATCAGGTGAAAGGTGCTTGCCACAAGTCTGGTGACCAGAGTGCAATCTGTGAAACCCATATAAAGATAAAAGGAGGGGCTGGAGAGATGTGCTCAGTGATTAAGAGCACTGGCTGCTCTTGCAGAGGACCCGGGTTCAGTTACCAGCATACACAGCGGCTAACAGTCTGTAATTCTAGTTCCAGGTGATCTGAGGCCCTCTTGTGACCTCTGTAGGCATTGCATGACATGGGGACACTTACATACATGCAAAAATAATAAATAAAATATTTTTTTAAAAGATAAAAGGAGAGATCCAACTCCACAAAGCTGTTCTCTGACCACATATGTTTATACACACACACACTAAAAAATGAAATTAAAAAGCCTTTCATGAAACATTGTGAAACTAGAGTTTCAAAAGGACACTGGTAGAAAAGCCAGTCCTTTTTTGTGTATGTGTGTCTGTGTGAGTTTATATGCATCTCTACTATGCAGGTCCTTGCAGAGATCAGAAGGTGCCAGATCCCCTGGAACTGGAGTTACAGGTGGTATGAGCTACCTGATATGGATGTTGGGAACTGAACCCAGGTGCTCTGCAAGAGCAGTAACCCTCTTAACTTCTGAGTCATCTTTTCAGCCCTGAAAAGCTAGTTCTTATAGGCAAAAATTAGGTAGTTCAATAGACTGTGTAGTCCTTTTTAATAAATAGTTCTTTTTGATAAGACAACAACAACAAAAAGTACCCCTGCTGTGCAGACCTGGACCTGCTGCCAGATTATCTCAATGATTGCTTGTGTAGCTGAGTACATTCCTGTACAATGCACAGGAATGAAGGCCTTGATTAACATATATAAAGTTGAAATTTATATTAAGAAAAATATTAAAATGCATAAAATCCATCATTTGCATGTATCTGATGCATTTGACCTTCTGTAGAAAGTCAGAACCAAGGTGTCATTATCTAAAGGAACAGATAAAGTCATGTCAGCCCAGGGTGAGTGGCAGTAGACTTAGGAGTCGCACATCTACAGTTGTCCTTTTTTGCCTGTCCTCATACTCATTGCTTGGACAATTCCCCACCCTCTGTCCTTGCCCTAATGTACTTGAGAAGGTCCCTCCCACAGGATGTAGTGATGTGAAAGTTAAGTCTATCAGTCTGATTTTATGCTTACATTTTTCATTATGGCATACAAAGTGTATCTTTGAAAGGGAAAATTAGTTCCCAGTGTAAGACACTAATTAAAATAAAATAATTAATTTTAAAAAACATTGAAGATTATGGGAGTGGAGCCTCAGCTAAAGTATGCAGGTTCTGGGGAGATTTTCCACAGAAGCCCTCTTTTGTGTTTGAATGAACAAGTTAGAATTCCTTTGCCTCCTCACCTTACCAAGATAGAAAAGAAGTTGATGCTCTGTCTCCTGGCCTGAACTGGCATTACTAGCTGCCTCCTCCCTCTCTGCTACCCATCCTGTTATCGTCACAGTGCTAGGTAAGTGTGGAAGGCTCTTAGTTAAGGGAAGAAACTCAAGTTTAGACAAATTATATGCCCATAGTAGCAAAACTAGGAGGCAGCAAAACCATTAAACATTAAAAAAATCATTAATATTGATTGTTGACGCAATGTAAAAAGAAATCTTTAGACTAAGCATGGTAGCTCACTCCATTAATCCCAACACTCTGGAGGCAGAAGCAAGTGGATCTCTGTGAGTTTGATGTACATAGTGAGTTCCAGGCCAGCCAAGGGCTATATAGTGAGACCCTGTCTCAAAAGAAAAAAGAAAAACCAAAACAAAAAAAGGAGCAAAAACCTTCCTATACAAAATCATTTACTGACTTCATATTTAAAAATTTATCCAAGAATAATAGACTTAAAGTAAGCCAAATGTTAAAAAAAAAATGGGGGAATAGAGAGGTGGGGAAGGATCTAGGAGGAATTAAGGGGGGATGAATATGATCAAAATACATTGTATGAAATTCTCAATAATTATATATAATTATTAAACTAAGCCCAGAGTATGAGGCTTTTGGAAGAAAACATAAGAAACCATCTTTGCAAATTTTTGGAGCCAAAAATTTCTCTCAAGACATTAAAAAAAGCTGTAACTGTAAAGGAAAAATTAGTAAACTAGACTTCATTAAAATTAAATTGTTCTGCTGATCCAAAGACCCCATTAAGTAAATGAATAGTGTGCTGGTGTTAATTCCCAGCACTTGTAGGCAGGTGGATCTCTTAGGCCAGCATGGTCTATATAGTGAGTTTCAGGCTAGCCAGGTACATAGTGAAGCCCAGTCTCAAAAAAAGAAGAAAAGAAAAGGAAGGA